GGCAGCGTTCAGGTGATCATCATGGCGAGGTTCCTCTTAGCCAGGTACCTCTCTTTATTGTCCTCTTACATTTGTATTTATACTATTTGATCTTAATCCCATCCATTCTATTCCAAAGGTTAGGGAGTTTCTTATCTTCATTCCAAGGTTACTCTATTGTTCTATTAAGCTACAAGGAAGTAACTGAAGGAGGTTATTCTAAGTAAAGATTATGTAGTTTAAAACCCCTTAACTAAATGCCAGGTGGGTAGTTAATCACTTTAACTATGAACAATCACCCTTAAGCTACATAATCTTTACTCCCTGGAATGGAGATAAGAAACGCCCTAACCTTTGGAATAGAATGGATGGGATTAAGATCAAATAGTATAAATACAAATGTAAGAGGACAATAAAGAGAGGTACCTGGCTAAGAGGAACCTCGCCATGATGATCACCTGAACGCTGCCTCCCTGTCATTACTTCCTCACCGACTCCGTCCACACCAAGGGGAACCCCTGGACCTGTTGGGACTGGACCCCAACAGGATAATAATTAAGAATTCCAGTTATGCCATAAAAAGTCATAAATGTAATATAGCATTCTCATAATATTTCAGATTCTTGCTACACTGTTTTAAAGAATACAAACTTTAAAAAAAATTATCTTTTACCTAGTTTGCTCCATAAATGATTTATAGGAGGCTTATGCCAAGTCACTCATGCATTAAGGCTCCCAAAGTATGGGGTAAAAACCAAACTGGATGAGAGGAGAATCAACTCTCCAGCCCCTTCTATGAACAGTGGTCCTCTGTAGTGTTACCCGCCGCTCTGTACTTCTTAGCAGCCAGGGAGACACACCTGGGACACATATTCTCATTATTTAGTAAAAGGAAACTCTTCAGTCACTTAGCTCTCCAATTAATGGGCCCTGAGGGTTATCCCTGAGAGAGAACCAAACAACATAAGGAGAGAGCCTGAAACGTGCTTTGAAGGGCTCCTGCAGCCTTCATTTGGCCACTCCTTATAAAAAGCCAACAGCATCATTTTAAAAGGAAATTTAATATAGTTCTGTTGTCAGGCAGGCAAATGAGAGATATTGTTTTCTTCTCCGTGGAAGAGGGGTTTTTAAATTTGAGAGGAAGCTGTAATCACTGGACAGAGTCCTGCGGGACAGCCGCAGGCAGTGTTTGGTACTGTTAATAAAACTCCTCTGCTGGCGGAACTGTGCGGACACAGGGTGGTAGAGGCGGGGCATGGAAGGCAGTGTGTTTATGTCCCATATCCTTGCCTGCTTTACTGAACCCATTTATTTTAATAACCAATCAAAACTCTCATAATAGAAATTTAGGCTGAAATGTCCAACAGCTGGCTAAGGACCCATTATCCAATATTTGTTGAATGGAGGAGTGTATCACTCCTGGCATGCATTCTCTAGTACATGGTGCACGGAACTCACCTGAAATCATTTCGTTTTCAGGGTCATTAGGTGTGTAGGTAATGGCTAGCACTTTTGACTTCCTTTAGTCTCCACTGCCCTAGAAAAATGAACACCAATACAGATGTTTTTCTTTGGATACATTCTAATACGGCATTGTCTGCACCAATGCAGGAATCTCAGGCGATAAGTTCATCGGGTTATATAGGTGTGTATACATGCATGTATATATGTATATATGTGCATATCTGCATGCATATATGTATATGTGTATATCTGCATATACACACATGTATTTTATTGAATGAATTGCTTAAGCTCTATGTGTCAGGTTGTAAATTGTCCCTAGAACTCTTGTTTAAGAGACTGTATTACCAATCATGTCAGCTGCTTTTAGCACTCACACAGTTATCTTTCAATTGGGAGAGCTTACAGATGCAGAATTGTTTCTATGCTTTTGTCCTGTCATCTTTCTCCTGGCCTAAGGTTTTATGTCACTGACCATTGTTTATAGAGCCTCCACGAGCTCAACTTCATTCTCGATTCTGAATCTAAAAATATATTATACAAGTAAAGAACAAGTTCGTGAGTATCATTCTGAAAGAGGAGGGCATTTAAAAATCGTAAATTACATGCTACAGTGAAAGAAGAGGTGAGTATCATTCTGAAAGAGGAGGGCATTTAAAAATCAATCGTAAATTACATGCTACAGTGAAAGAAGAATGTGCTGACTTTTACAAAGTCACAAAATGCAGAACAGATTATTCAAAGAACTCTCTGGAAGCTGACAAGCTTATTAAAGCAATCCTAATAAAAAATTTCTGCATTCTGTTTCTGCATATATAACAAAGTTACAGTGTGTCACTGCAGTATAGATTGTCACTATTACCACTTGGAGGAGAAGGGAATGTATATATACAAAGATATATATGTGAATAATTTCATATTGCCAGAGGAAACTGAAAAATTATGTGCATTAAGTAGTGTTTTAATTGCAACATGAAAAACAACATTTAAGTAATGTTTCACAATCCCACAAAGTTAAAGTCAAGTATAAATGCCTAGTATAATAGGGAAAGAATGGCCTTTGGGGGCACACAGGCCTGGGTGTGAATTCTGACTCTGTCACTTGTTACATCCACTACTTCTAGCCAATCCCTCTATCACTCTGAGACTCAGTTTCCCTAACAGTAAAATAGAAGTATTATATATCTATTTTGTAGAGAGTTGTGGTGGAACTTAAAGGAGAATGAATGATAGGTCCCTACCCACTGATGTTTTTATTATCAAATTATTGAATCAATTCCTAATATAAGGTGACAGGAGATTTGATTTTGGGTGGTGGGAACACAGTGCAATATACAGATCTTGGAACATAGAAACCCACACCTGAAACCTCTATGATCATGTTGACCAATGTCACCCCAATGCATTTAATTTTAAAAAATAAAATAACTGAAAACAGAAAACTAACTGTAGATATTTATAGCTTCTCTATGGATTACATACCTGCCAATATCATCAGCTCTCAAATTTTATGATTGTCTGAGTATATATGAGAGAAGGATATAAATTCCTCTGAAGACCAATTTTAGGAAAACTCCTCTAGAGTATATGTGAGGACAATATTTAGGCCTCAGTAAAGCATTCTCTTTTATCTGCTTTCTGATCTATATTATTTGTGTATAAATAGTCATAAATATTACACAGTTGTTATAAAGTTGGCTTTAAAAGCAACAAGCTCTCATGAGTCATTACCTCGTACTTCTCACTCTTTGAAGTAACAGTTCTAATATTTTTCATTCATTAAACTTTTCTGTGTCTACTCTAGCCCATGGGTTGGTTTCTACCCTGAAAAAAAATCTTGAGGTTTGTTTGGAGACACTGGGATGGGCACAGAAAGTTCCAGTCCTTGCTTGGAGATGAGCTGAAAGTCTCTACAGGCCTCACACTCTTACAGGCATTACCAATAAAAATAAACCTAGGAAAAAAGTTTTTCATCTTTACTACCAACAGAATTCCCATTTCCATTTTGATTGTTCATTGAGATTCTAGGTTAATTACACAGAGTGTGAAAATTCCATTTTCAGCAATGTAAGGTCTGCCCAACGATGGCCTACACTCTCACATGTTGTTCAACATACACTATGTGGAGCCTTAAATCTGCTACAACCAGAAGATCTTCCCAAACTATCCTATAAGATGAAGGGGAAGTGAACTCTACTGGGCTTTCACCCTTTGCCTCTCAAGATCCACCCTGCATCTCTCTCTACCTTGCTCTGTGCCCTGGGAAGCCAAGCTATGGAGACCACTCAGAGACTTCCCTTTTCTACTGGCCTCTGGTTTGGTTTGGCAGTAACTGGCAGATTGGAGGGTGGAGAGAGTGAGCCCTGGGTATTCATTCCTCTGACTCTCTCCCTGCCAGACTGCCATCACTTCCTTCCGCCCCACAGCTACCATCTCCTGCCTTCTGGTGACCATTTTCTCCCCTTGTCCTTTAGGCCAATAGGCTAGAAATAGTGTGGGCTAGATTCTGTTTCCATAAATCTAGCCCACACTATTGTAGACAGCCCTTCACTAATTATCTCAAATAACACCAGCCTGAATATGCCACCTGGCTCCTGCCAGGACCCTGAGCCTTGAATTGAGTCTGAAAAAGGCTACGTGGAAGAGAGTCACTCCTGACAGAAGTGTCGTGCCTTATTATAGCAGGTTATCACAGGACCAGATGACATGAATCAGCAGAACCTTTGGACTGGGAAAGTATAAGAGCAAGTGTCACTGCTAGGTTTACAGGAAATCAACAAGTGGATTTATGCTATAAACAGATCAGGGTAAGAATGGAGGCATCAAGAAATGACTATATTAACCAGAAGATAAATCTATAATCCAGTGAAAATATCACAAACCTACCAAAAATCAGCTTTTTCTGCTCCTATCACTAAAGAACAACATTAAATAGGTGGGGCGGGGGGAAGATTATTGAACTTCAATAAAAGAGCTAAGAACAAAGGAATACATATCGTTATAAACATAACACCAAAGCCTACAGAAGCTTATTGTAACCAAGGCTGTACCCTCTTATCACCTCTAAATATCTGCACAGAGATGTGAGTTAATTCAACCATAACAGATTCACTGTAAACTGAATTAATATTATTGACCATTAATATGGAATATCATGAATATGGGATCTCATACTAATGCAATGGTGCTTTGCCCTATAATCTCCCTCCTAGAGTCTTGTACTTCATGAAACAACACGGTTTTGACATGACACATCTCCTGACTGCCCTCTACTTGCTCTCTGGTTACCTCTCGTCTTCTGCAGTCCCGACCTTCCTACGGGGATAATGTTCTTAGTAGCCTTGCTTGCCCAGAGAAGCCCTTTACTTCACCTTCTAAGGTTACATGGACTCATCTTTCTTAATCAATTTTCTTCCCTCCTCCTCCCCTTCCAACTCCCTGCTCCCTCACTCAAGGACACTTGAAAGGAGAAAAAAAAAAGTTCAGCTTGAATTGTACATTGAGATCTCATCCATATTCTGTACCAATTTCCAGACCATAAAATTCCTTATTGGCACAGAAAGTGTTCTGTGATAATGTCTAAAATGGTCCCTTTTACCTTGTGCTTAAAATAAAGCACACCTTGAAGGCACTTTTTAAAACTATGGCATGCAGAAGAAGTCAAAGAGGCCAAAAGAGGGACTCTTCTCCTTTCTAGTTCTCTTTTTGTTCAGGGGCACAAAGTTTCTCTGCACTGAAAGCACCTAAGAGAGAGAAGGCTGGCTCGGGGATTTGGTAAGGGTGGCATCAGGAAAGTGAGGGGACTGAGGCAGCGCCATGACCTGACGTCTTGCTCAGGGTAAGCCAGGATGTGGGCTCACTGTAACTGTCGCCCAGCACACATGGCTGATGGCAAAGATGACATCCGACCCATGGATCACAATCCTGGGCTATCACCTTCCACTTCAGCAGCTCAGAGAGCCTGTTCCTCAGGGCATGTCGCTCCTCGTTAACCCCCTGATACCATTTGTACAGCAGAGACACTCGGTAAGTAATCTTTGAATAAATGCTTAAATAAGGTTGACTTCACCCATTCATTTAGTTTGCAACGTCCATTCCCCTGACCCTGAGGCGGAACAATTGCCATTTACCCTGTGGTGCCTGGATTTGGGCAGCAGACATTTACCCAATGTGTGGCTGTGCAGCCTCACATGACCACACTCACTGCACCATATGACTCATCTTCAAAGAACTTTCCCATCTGAAACTAATTAATCTTCCCCACATCCCTGTGAGGTAAGTGCAGGGAGCTCGCTGCAGGTTGTAAGGAGGAAATTGGGGATGAGCAGGTTACAGGCTGTGCCAAAGGTTATTAAGGGTGTCTGCTGGGGAATGAGGTCATAATGCAGTAAACCGGGTTCAGCCTCTCCGCCCACCCCAGAATCCAGGCCCTTCCCCCCTGCTCTGACCATCGTCCTCTGGTCTTTTTGTGAAGGTGCAGACTGAGTCCAGCAGGTCTGTGCATTTCAGACGGGAAAAAAGTATTATGATTTGCCCCTGCTAAATACTTTAGATGTCTTTCCCGCAATCACTTGTGTTAGAAGTCATCTCTCCAATAAAGACATGGCCTTATGTTGATTTAGTGCTGTCTTCTGGAAAGAGGGGTGAGAATCATGCATATCCATCCATCTTCCTGGGAAACACGTGGTGAGGTTCACTCTCACATCTTAGGAGACACAAGCCAGTGCATGGGCAGCCTCGGCGTTCATGGTTACTGCCTGTCCTGGCCTGCGAACTGCCCAGAGCAGCATGACACACAGCCTCCTCGACATACTTCACACACCTCATAACGTGAGTTCCCATGGCATGCACACAGCAAATACTACAACTTTCTCTACTGTCGGCCTTTCTGACTTTGCCAAACAGAACTAGGACTGGCTGTTTCCAAGGGAGAAGCAACATTCACCCACCTACATGTCCTTTTTCCTTTGCTGGTTTCTCTTCCTCCCCCTACCTCCTAGATTAGGACCTGCCTCGGGTCTCAGGTTTTTATATTACTATTTATTTTCCTATAGTGTGTGTTTAATCTTTACTTTCCCTAGGAACCACATTCACTTTCACACTTTCAGCTTCCATTCCTTGTTGATATTTCTAAGTCAACAGGACTATCACTGAAATAGGGGCTGGATTATAAATTCTCATTGACTGCCATTTTAATATAGCATGAGTTGGAGCAGATGACTTACTATTGCATTTGGGGATGACTAGTCCTGATAGACAGTAAAGCATTCCCTAATGCTCCCATCATGAAAACAGTATAATACTAGCGTATAAATAGACAGACAAATGGAACAGAATAGAAAGTCCAGAAATACTCAAATACACACAGCAATTTGTTATATGGTAAAGGGGGCTTCTCAAAACCAGTGTTATATCCATTTGAGTATATTGTAATTGTTGACTTTAAGCAACATATCTCTCTTTTTTTTTTAATCTTTATTGTTCAGATTATTACATT